CTGGACCAATAGGATCAATACAGGGGCTTACGCCAATCGGTTTTGTCAGGGCATCTTCAATCTATCGAGTCCCTTATTAGAGATACCATAGGGCACCTCAGTAGACTCCGTCGGGCAGGTTAGGCATAGAAGAAATACCATTCAAAGAAATAGACTTAGATTTTCCTAGTGACTCCCATCGCTCATTCCCATAGCTGCTTGTCTTGTGAGAAAGCTAAAGTCCTATATATTAAATCTTGTAATTGCATTTCATTTTGCTTTGACATTTCCATTTGTTTGTATGCATCACAATTTAATTTGTCACAACATAATCAATTGTTACCACAACACCATCGTTCTATTTCCACTTCAGTCATTCCATATTGCCACAACATTCTCATTTGTATATACCATCACTAACTTTTCTTAGGTGACTAAGTAAAGTGCCTTGACAAATCTATTTGATTTCTCCAATTCCCTGTGGAGATGATACTCAACTTATCACTTTATTACTTGTTCGATTGTGTATACTTGCACACATATCGGCACTCATTTATAGTACTCACAAAAAGTGGACAAGTTTTTGGCGCCGTTGCCGAGGAATTGGCAACTGGAAGTTAAATTGATTTGTCATAGCATTTTTATTTTATATATTCATATTTTCTTTTCAGTTAGCTTTACTTTTTACTTTCCTTAATTTTTGTTCATTTGTTTCTCTAGGTACATGACCAGAAGCAACCCTGAAGAGCCATTAGAACCGAATAATCCTGAAATCGAGAGGCTTTTTAGGCAAAGAAGACGTGATCAACGTGTAATCATGTACCAAATCAGAAATCAAGGTATTGGTCATGAAGATGATCAGAATGCCGGGGCGAATTTAAATATTGGGAATGCAGCCAGACCTCGAGTCATTCGTGATCACTTAAACTCAATTTTAGACAATTTAAATCCTGGACTTGTGGCACCAGAAATTCAGGCGACCCACTTCGAGCTCAAATCTGTCATGTTTAATATGCTAAACTCCATAGGGCAATTTGGGGGCATGCCAAATGAATATGCCTGGCAGCATATTCGTAACTTCTTGGATGTCTGCGATTCTTTTCGCCAACAAGGGGTACACGAAGATGTACTGAAGCTAAAATTATTTCCATATTCTCTGCGTGACCGAGAAAGGGCTTGGTTGAGTGGCGTTCCAGTAGCTGATGACGAGTCGATGTATAAGTGCTGGGATCGATACAAGGCATTGCTTCGCAAGTGCTCAAACCATGGTTTTCAAGATTGGACACAAGTGGTGATGTTCTATAATGGAGTAAACGTACCCACGATGATGATGCTAGATGCCTCGACAAATGGGACGTTACTTGACAAATCACCAGTAGAGGTATTTGACATACTAGATAGGATTGCTACCAATGATTACCAATTTCCATCTACTCGGCTTGGACTAGGGCGCAAATCACACAGAGGTTTCGAGCTAGATTCTAAGGATACCGTGTCCACCCAACTTGCTGATATCACCAACATGTTGAAGAATTTGCAAAGGCCAAGTGAGGTGAGAGAAGTAAAGGCAAACCATTTAGCTTGTTTATTATGCCACGACAATCACAATGAGAGTGATTGTCCAACCAATCAAGAATCCATTAACTTTGTAGGTAACTTCAATCGAGGTAACAACAACCCCTATTCCAATACATATAATCCTGGATGACGTCAACATCCAAACTTTTCGTGGGGAAATCAAGGATCCAGCAATGCCCATCAACCAGCTCGGCATCAGAATTTCAATGACTCCCAAGGTTATCAATCGAATATGCCATGGCATAATTCTAACAAGGGAGGGCCATCTTCATCAAACACAAGATCTTTGAAAGCCACAATGCAAGAGTTTATTGCAACAACAAAGACAATACTGTAAGACCATACGACCTCCATCAAAAATCAAGGAGCCCTGCTTCAGAGCCATAGTTCGTCATTAAGGGAATTAGACAGTCAGGTTGGTCAAATTGTTGTGGCATTAGAAGAACGCAAACCAGGACATTTGCCGAATGACACTGAAGTCACCAAACCTCATGACAAGGAGATCTACAGTGTGCTAACTCTTTGAAGTGGTATACAAATTAATGTTGAATATAAGTTTGGGGGAAGATCGAAGGATGATTCACCCCCTATAACTGTGCAAGCTGATCGAGAAGTGCAGGAAGAAGCACCAATAGAAGAGGATAAGGATGAGGGTTCATCAAGTAAAGCATCTGAGGTGGCAAATAAAAATGCTAAGGTAACTTCATATCACACCCCATCAGTTCAAGAAGCCAGACCCCTACCTCCTTTTCTGCAAAGACTGAAAAAGCATAACAAAGATATCCAGTTTAAGAAGTTCGTTGACATTCCGAGTCAACTGCAAATCAATGTTGCTTTTTTGGAAGCTATGGAACAAATGCCCACCTATGCTAAATTTCTCAAAGAGATTGTTACCAAGAAGAGAAAAGTAGAGCAGTACGAGACAATTGCCATGGCAAAAGAATTTTGCTCTTCCTTAAGCAAGCTACCACCGAAGAGACATGATCTGGGCAGTTTTATCATCCCATGTTCGATATGAGACAAATTTGTTGGGAAGGCACTATGTGACCTTGGATCGAGTGTAAACTTGATTCCTAAGTCAATATTCGTGAAGCTTGGGATAGGAAATGCGAGACCCATATCTGTCATTTTGCAATTAGCCGATCGTTCACATGTGCGTCCTGAAGGGCGGATTAAAGATGTCATCGTGCGGGTTGACAAATTCATTTTTCCTGTCAATTTTTTGATTATGGACTGTGAGGTTAACGCCACAACACCCATCATCTTGAGGAGACCATTCCTAGCTACCGGTCGTATTCTCATCGACTGTGAAAGGGACAAGCTGACCATGCGAGTGGTCGATCAACAAGTCACTGTGAATGTCTTCCGATCTCTCAAGTACATGGATGATTCTGAAGAATGCCAGAGCATTTTAGAAGTGGATACAATAATAACGAAAGAAGCAGATCAATTTTGCCAAGACAATTTCATTCAACTGGGACCTGATGAGGGGCTATTGGAACACTTAAAGGCCGGAGAGCCTAATGATTTTTCATCCGAGGAACATCAGGCTAGCTTCCTTAAAGTTAGCCCATGTACGCGTTTTGAACCTTTGAATTTTGAAGAATTTGTTCCTCCCAAGCCATTATTACAACATGCTCCTACCCTAGAACTTAAGAATTTGCCACAACATCTTAAATATGCTTATCTGGGTAGTAATGAAACTTTAACTATGATTATTTTCTCTGCCCTCACTCCTATCCAAGAATCGAGTTTGTTAAGTGTTTTGTCACAACATAAGAAAGCGTTATGCTGGAAGATGGCAGATCTCAAGGGAATAAGTCCAACAATCTGCATGCACAAAATCATACTAGAAGAATGCCACGGCAAATCCATAGAGCCACAGCGAAGACTGAACCCAATCATGAAACAAGTTGTGATGAAAGAGATTCTCAAATGGCTCGATGCTGGAGTAATTTACCCCATTTCGGATAGTTCGTGGGTGAGTCTCGTTCAATGTGTGCCCAAGAAGGGAGGCATGACCGTGGTGATGAGTGAAGACAACGAGTTGATACCTACTCGCACGGTCACCGGGTGGCGAATATGCATGGACTACCGCAAGCTCAACAAGGCCACCAAGAAAGATCACTTCCCTTTGCCTTTCATTGATCAAATGATGGATCGGCTTACCGGCAAGGCATTTTATTATTTCTTGGATGATTACTCAGGGTATAACCAAATTGCCATCGCATTAGAGGACCAAGAGAAGACCACATTCACATGCCCCTATGTCACTTATACTTTCCGAAGAATGCTTTTTGGACTCTGTAATGCCCCGACAACTTTTCAACACTGCATGCAAGCCATATTCTCTGACATAGTTGAGGAGTGTCTTGAAATTTTCATGGATGATTTTTATGTTTCTAGGGACGACTTTAAAAAATGCCTCAGCAATTTAGCAAAGGTACTGAAGCGATGAGAGGAGGCTGATCTCGTGCTGAATTGGGAAAAATACCACTTCATGGTAACAGAAAGCATTGTTCTAGGCCACAAGATTTCTGCAAAGAGCATTGAGGTAGACAAGGCCAAGATCGAGGTAATCGAGAAGCTACCCCCACCAAACTCTGTCAAGGGTATTCGAAGTTTCCTTGAACATGCTGGATTTTATAGACGATTCATCAAGGACTTCTCCACAATATCCAAGCCCTTGTGCATCCTGCTGCAACAGAATCAACCGTTCGTGTTCGATCAGAAATGCCATGGCACATTCAAAGAGCTGAAGCAAAGACTTATCTCTGCACCTATCGTAGTTCCCCCAGATTGGATGGCACAGTTCGAATTAATGTGCGACGCAAATGATTTTACCGTGGGAACAGTGCTTGAGCAACGTAGAGGTAAAGTTTTCCATGATATTTATTATGCTAGCCATACTTTAAATGATGCACAATTGAATTACACAACTACTGAGAAAGAATTACTTGCCGTGGTATTTGCATTTGACAAGTTTAGGCCATACTTGATAGGCACAAAGGTAATAGTTCACATCAATCATTTAGCTATAAATAATTAGTGAACAAGAAAAATGCCAAGCCTAGACTGATTAGGTGGATATTACTCTTGCAAGAATTTGACTTAGAGGTACTTGATAGGAAATGTACTAAAAATCAGGTTGCAGACTATTTATCTAGGCTAGAAAACATTTCAGAATGCCATGACATTGTTGATATTAAATAAGAATTCCTGACAAGAAAATTTTATATGCCACGACAATTCTGTGGAACACTGACCTTGTTAATTTTCTTGTTAGTGGCGTTTTTCCTTATGAACTAAATAGTCAGGCCAAGAAGAAGTTTTTGCACGATGCCAAGTTCTATTTTTAGGACGAGTCGTACTTGTTCAAGCAATGTGCTGATCAAATAATTCGACGGTGTATCCCGGAAGAAGAGCAACGCGATATCTTATACCATTTCCACACTGCAACCTGTGGAGGGCATTTTTGAGGTTCGAGGACTGTTGCAAAGGTCCTCCAATCAGGCTTCTATTGGCCATCACTATTTAAGGATGCCACGCATTTTGCAAGACGTGCGACAGATGCCAGCGCACTGGAAATATTTCCAGACGACACGAAATGCCGCTGTAAAATATTTTGGAAATATAGATCTTTGATGTTTGGGGCATTGATTTCATGGGACCATTCCCATCTTCCTTTGGAGATTTATATATCTTGCTTGCGGTGGACTATGTCTCTAAGTGGGTTGAAGCAATTGCCACACCAAGGAATGACTCGAAGACGGTGCTAAAGTTCCTTCACAAGAACATATTCACTCGATTTGGAGTACCAAGGGCCATTATCAGTGACGAGGGCACCCATTTTGACAATAGGCTAATTGCCAAGGCATTACAGAAATACGAAGTGCGACATAAGATTGCCACGGCATATCACCCAGAGATGAATGGGTAAGCTGAAGTTTCCAACCGAGAAGTTAAGAAAATCCTTGAGAAGGTAGTGAACCCTCGAAGGAAAGACTGGTCCCCAAAACTCGATGAAGCTCTTTAGGCCTATAGGACGACATTCAAAACACCACTGGGAATGTCACCTTTCAAGATGGTATATGAAAAAGTCTATCACCTCCCAGTTGAGTTAGAACACAGGGCGTACTGGGCAATCAAGAAACTAAACTTCGAAGCGCAACTTGCTGGGGAAAAACGACTGCTCGATCTGAATGAAATGGAGGAGTTTCGAGCACAAGCATATGAAAATGCCAAGCTCTACAAGGAAAAGACTAAGAAGTGGCATGACAAAATACTTTTGCCACGACATTTTCATGAGGGCCAGAAAGTATTGTTGTTTAATTCTAGGCTCAAACTCTTCCCAGGCAAATTAATGTCACGGTGGTCAAGACCATTTGAAGTCCACCATGTTTACTGGTACGACGTTGTTGAGATCAAGAACATGGATGATGGGTCCATCTTTAAAGTCAATGGCCAACGCCTTAAGGCTTTCCAGGGAGTCCCACCATTGCGTGACAAGTCGGTGCTTCTCTTACTTGACGTCGATACAGGCCCGACATCTTAAGGATGCCCTGACATTTTAAATTTACTCCTATGCATAAATAATTTTTACTTTCCCATCATTTTAGTCTTTCTTATTTTTAATTAATTGTTTTTATATTATTTTTGTTGCAAAGATATCCCACGCATAAGGCACGTGGAACGTATGGTGGAAGTTGGGCAAATTTGGGCGGCAAAATAAAAACAGTAAATGAGGGAAAATTTTACTATTTCATCTTTTTACTTTTAACTTAAAGTTTTATTTTTTTACTCTTTCATTTTTGTCTTCTTCTTCCCGCCTAGACCCCACCATCCTATTTAATCTTTCCCCAAACAAAATCTTTCTTTTGTTCTTATCTTCTTTTCACTTTTACTTTACCTTTTCACTTTCACTTTCACTTTCACTTTCTTTCATCTTCTTCTTCCCTCCGGTTTGACCGAACCTCCATAGCCGACCAAGCTACAAGCTTCCTTCCTATATCTTTATTCCGTGTTTTCATCATGGTATGAGCACAACAATCTTCTTCTGCACCACCACATTTGTGGATGATGCTGCCCGAGACCGATTCCAAACCATTAAAAACCGGTGGGTCTTTTTCGAGTTGGGATTTGTCTTATCCGATGAGGAGGATACTGCCTTCGGAAGTGAGGTGCTCGATGTGGTTAACAAGCACAAGTGGCATAAATTTGCCAAGTATCCGGCCACAGTCAACGCATCAATAGTGAAGGAGTTTTACTCAAATATCTCTGAGCCAAACCAGCATGTCGTCATGGTTCGCATTATTTCTATTCGATTCACTCCTACTGCCATTAATCGATATTTTAAATTGTAGGTACTGGAAGACCACCGCACCACATTCGTACAAGACGCATACAACCAAACATACCAAGGCATTCTGGAATACCTCTGTCTTCCCGACACCCAATGGAACTGCCAGCAATTGAGTCGCAGGACCATGGACCATGGACCGGGAGAAACTTCTCCCGCAAGTGAAGCTGTGGAACCATTTTATGAAGTACAAGTTGCTGCCCACTTCCCATAACACCACCGTGTCCTGCCAGCGGATGCTTTTACTACACTCCATCATACTCGGGCGCCCCATTGATGTGGGGAAAATCATTGTAGAACAAGCCTATTTATGCCTGAAGCGAGTTGAAAGTACCCTGGTATTTCTGAATCTCATCACTGTTTTATGCCGTAAAAAGAAAGTTCCTGAGGAGCAGTTCGACAAGATTTTATCGGGTATTGCTAGGATTACCAAGGTAAAAATCCCTATGTTGCTGGGGTTGAAGGACATAAAAAGAAAAGAAAATGAGGTAACCACATCTCGTGTTTAACCATCTCCACATGCCAGGGCAAACTTAGATGCCCTGGAGCAGGCAATCCAATGCACTCAAGAGCACGTTGGGTATCTTTCCGACAAATTGATGACATATTTTGCCTACGCTAAGCGCCGAGATGAATTTTTCACCAATGCCTTCTTAGAGTTTCTCCTGTATATGAACTTCACCATCCCAGACTTCCCTGCAACACTAATGACACCAAATGAGGATGCTGAGGCATCTGCAGAAGTACCTCATCCTGCCCCTGCAGACGCTCTGAATCTGAAGAGTTCGTTGAAGCTGAAGAGCCCACCGACCCTGATCCCGTCCATGCTGTGTCACCCGATGCAGATCAAGAAGCTAACCTCCAACTCACTCATCGCTTGAAATCCCCACAATTTGTTGAACCCTTGGCGACAGAACATCCTGATATGCTGCAACCTACTGCGCCAATGGAAGTAGAGCACCCAGAAGTACCGCAGCCCACCGAGTTAATCGAGGAGTCAGAATCTGAGATACCAAGGTAAGATCCTTTACGTAGAAGCCGACGTCGCTTGAAGAAGGCATCTACACGTGAGGAGCCTCAACTCTCAGCTATCCCAGAAGGCCCTAGCACTCCTCTAGCCTCACCAGCTTCTGACTCAGAACACTTCAGCCTCGCCAAGCTGAGAAAACGCCCACGCCGCGCGACCGCTGCACCACCACCCGCTTAAAGACAAGATACCTTGTATTTGCATTGCATTCATAGCATGTAGTTTTATTTTTCTTAGTTTTAGTAAGCATTGGGGACAATGCTTCTCTCAAGTTTCGGGGAAGTAGGGTTCTCAACACATTGCATGATAGTATGAGTAAAATAAATATGCCATGACATTAGTAAGAATTTGAATAGTTTTCTGGAATTAGTTAAGGATTCCCGATGATAATGAATTTTTTATGGCTAGGATAGAATGTACATGATTGGTTGAGGATGATATAACCAACTTTAGGACTTGTTTCTTTAAAATCCTTGAATACACGATTGTATGCTTTCCATGCTTGAGAAACTTAGAAATTTTTTATAAGAGAATTCTTAAATGCCATGGCATAAAACTTTTAATGATGAAAACTCCTGAAAAAAATGAAATGAATGAAATGAAGTTGAGAATAAATTCCTAGGCATATCTGTAGAGGGACACTCCGCTATGCCATGGCATATGAGTGATTGAAAGATGTCATGGGATGACTCTACATGACTAGCTCGGGGGTGGAATGTATGCTTCATTTCACCTAGAGTGTGGGATGGTAGAATGATGGGCTGACTCCCCTTAAAGCAGAACTAATAAAAGAAAAGAAAGGCAAGGTGGGAATAGATTTTGAAAATGTCATGGCAAATTAAGAAAGCTTGTTTAGAAAAATTGTAGGTCTGTTAAGCATGTATTGGATACAAGCACGCACATACCCACACAAAGAATCTTGTTCTAGGGGGCAGTACTTGAATTCTCAAACCTAGTCTAGTATGTTGAAGCCATATGTGCTGAGGGCTGAAATTTTATCACATATAACTATTTTGCTTATGAACCTGTCATGGTATTTTTGTTTTGCTTACTATTATCCATTGCTTGAGGATAAACAATAGCTTAAGTTTGGGGGTGTGATAACTCCGTAAAAGGTCACATTTTGGGACCTTTTCACTTAAGTTATTGAGTGTCTAATAGCTCATTTAGGACTATGTAGATGCATTTAGAAGCATTTAGTTGCATGTGGTGGAATTTAGTTTGCCGCAACATTTTATTTTTAAAGTGGTGCTGCCTTATGGGAAAGGTGTTTTGTTTGATGATGTACAGGAATTGAAAGCAAGGAGAAGAGGAAAGAAAATGTCGTGACATAATGAGATTGTTGAGAAAAATTAATTTTCCAAGTTCAACCGACATTTTGAAAGTGCTTAAAGTACGAGAAGATATTTTTGAAGCCAGTTGTATCCGACTTTCCGAGAGCTCTGTCCGAAAAGTCCACCTCGAAGATTCGCCTGGAGGGACCGGTACTGCAACCGCCGGTTCTGATGATGACGCCGCCTGACCCTGTAGATACTGTCTGTCCTTGGGTGCCTACAAAGGGATTATGCCAGCTACCCAGGCTGTATCATAGCCTGTTCTGCCCGACTCCTAAGCATCTTAACTATGGTTTTAAGGTTTTCTAGGATAGTCAACACCATGTCCTAGGATTAGTTTTCCCCTATAAATAGAGGATGAAGCCACATTGTTGAAGACTTTGGTTCTCCCCAGATTTAAGCCTAAAAAGTTAGAGAGAGAAGGTTTCATCTTTCTCTGTCAATCCTACTTGCCGTGGCATTTCTCCTAGACAAGCTTGAGGGAGTGGCGTCCTGAGCGTCCGAGAGGTGCCAGTTCGTTGGGAGCAGTTCTTGGTGGCCGAGGGAAGCATTGGGCAGTGCACGTCGAAGGCTTTCTCTCATCCCCTTAGTTCTTTGCTTTCATATTTTGTTATTGGGTTGTAAGGAACGAACGGAACTTGCCTTGTACTTGTTTATTTCGAACCCCACCATGAACTAATCCTATTTGGTGGGACTTCGCATGGATGTTTAAGTTTTATTTCAATGAATGGTTGTTTTTATATGCTTTAATCTATTTTATTTATGAAACTTAATGCCTTAAGGTTGTAGGAGCTACGAGAGTAGCCTT